GCCATAGTGAGTGAGCTGATGACTCACTGTCCCTTCTTTGAACTTCTGAACTTCAGGAATGACAAGATGGAACAGGGGAAAAAAGCGCACTGCCCCACTGCAGACCAGATGTTTCATGAAAGGCAAGAAATTCAGGGAACTTAAAAGCCTGTATATGTTCAAAGGGTAAAAGCAATAAATATAATTTTCATGATTAAGTTGTTAAGTGCATCAAAAAAGGACACTAGGAAACAAAACTTGACTGCACTTTACCATCAGAGCTAGCATCCTAAATCTGATCATTTTATTCTCTTGCTTAATTAAAAAATTCACTAACTCTACATTGCTCCTGGATCAAGTCTAAACTTACAATGGCACAGAATAATCTTCATAACAAGATCCCAAACTTCCCTGGTAGCTTTATCTTCTAATGAATTCTCATTACATGTCTTGGAAGGTATAGAAGGCCACTTATAATTTACCAAATAAGCCAGATACTTTTAAATCTGATCAATTTCTTTACACCATTTTCTCTGCCCAGGACTTCCATCCCAGCTGGCAAACCCCTAACGGTGCTTCAGAGCCTGGCTCAAGTATCATTTTTTCTGTGTAGTTTTCTCAACTCCCACCCTCTCCTACTACTCAGAATGAGTGTTCTTTCATCTATGGAGTCATTGAACTTTAAGAATGCCTTTGATAAATCACTTAACCCTATGCATTAAGTAGAAGTTCTATTCTCTCCCCAATACCATGAAGGCAAGCAGGAGCCTGTCACTGTGCAATTCTTAGTACACCACAGGAGCATAATACAGGTTTGTTGAATCTAATCAAATATTAGAAGAGAACCAAAGCCTCAATGGATTTTCTAGGCCTAGGAATTTGCTAGGACTAGAGAATGTATGCTAAATCCACATATGTGATTTTGCTTTGGTCTTTGGACCAGAGTGTGTAATTTGCTTTTATTAAAAAATAGGGTCATGAATATATTTCTCTAGATAAAACATTATGAACCCATTTTCAGCTTAGACTTGGCCTTCCCATAGGTCAATTTGCCAAAAAGTAGCTGTGTAATTCGAAATATTTTCCTGCTGGAGTGGAATTGCATTTGGGGCTTGCTTCAATCAGTGCTTGTCTCGCTTTTGCTCTTCAAAGAGCCCCCAAGTCAACCAGGCTTGAGCAGAAGGAAACCAGATGAACTCTGTTGAATTTAAATTTCCCACATCCTCTACTTTAGCATTAAAGTTTTCTTCTCTAATTGAACAGATTAACTAAAGCAGTATACATAATATAGTATCAATTTATACATTTTTTATTTATCCACTATGCCACCTTGTTTCAGAAAGTCTTTGAAAACTTAAAGAAAAAATCCCAAATCAAAAAACAAACTGTTCCACTCATCCCTTTGGTTCTTTTGGTGACCCTGTCAGTGCTGATGGTCAGTGTGAAAGACTTTTGGAAAAGTTTCTCAGGTACTAGTAACAGCATTTCCTATCTTGGTTTATGGTAAATGACTGTCAGAGTCCACAGGCCACTTTTACCCTATGACCCAGTGTGAGTTCGCTCAATCTTGAAATCAGTCACTGAGGCCCTCACATAACATGGCAGTTGTTATCCGGCTAAGTAAAACTATATAGTTGATGACCATCTGAAGTTGCTCAGGGGCAACAGTATGAAAATGAAGAGCAGATCTGCCTGAGTTTGAATCTGGCCATACCTCTGACCAGGTAAGTGGCCTTGGACGAACTACTTCACCTCTCCAGGCCTCACCTGCCTTATCAGTAACGAAGGAGAAACAATGGCACCTACCTCCTATGGAATAAGAGGAATAAGTGGATTAAATGTGTAAAGCATTTTACAACAGTGTCTGGCACACAGTAAGCACTCAAAACATGTTAGCTACTGTATTTGATACTTTAATATTTTTAGGTAAGAAAAGTAGGTACAATAAAAAATTAAAGGAAGGCTGATCATTTTCAGGACAATAGTTTATTTACAAAACCGCAACTCAGTCTGTTTTGGTATCATTATTGACAAAACACCTACAGTTGAGATACTAGTTGAGTGGAGTGGGTATCCAGACTTGTATAGCTATACACTGATTTTAGCTATACATAAAACCAGAATCCAACACTATCCCAGTTTCCTACTTCTGTGTGGCTCCGAATGTAGCTTGCAAAAGAACAAACTCTCTTTATAATGCACAAGGGCTTAAACAAACCACTTCTTTAGATTTTGTTTTTGTTTTTCTATTTAAGGGTTGGGACTGAGACTATTCATTTAAAATTTGCTATTTACAGAGAAAGCCCTAGAGAATGAGGTAACTTAAAGACAGAGGTTTGGTTTATCTGGCTTTCATAATACAGTAGCCATATGACTTTAGAAACAGGCAAATAAATAATATTGGTACACAGTATATATTGAAAATTTTCTGACAAATTCATTTATCTAACATCATGCTGAGGAATCAAGAGGATTTCTCCATACATTTAAAATTGTGTTATATTTGTTGATTCACAAAGTCTTGTTCCACATTAAAGTAGTTGTCACCAAAATAACATATGATAACTAGTACCCATGGAAACCTATCAGCTTGTTTTTTTAAAATTCTCTGTTAAGGTTTATTTCCAAGTTGAGCATCACATATGTATACATGGTTATATGTGTGGATTTATGCATGGATATATGCACAGTTGATATATGTGTGGGTACTAATGCCCCTTATTCAGGAATGTAAAATAATATACCTGGCATCTAGTTGTAAGAAAAACTTCCCCAGATTGGGAGGTAGCTGAGTGGCACATGAAAAAAGTCTCTTATGTGAAGTTAAGAATAGACCTATACTGGGCTGATGAATGGAGAGAGGAAGAAAAAGAAGTAGAAGTAGAAGAAAAGAACTACATTGGCTCAAATTAAACAGGTAATTAATTTAAGACAGCAAATAAATAAATCAACAAATGCCCCATTTTGGTTTTCTAAAAAAAGAAATCACTGGGAAATCCTTACTAACAATTTAAAGTTGATCCATTAATATACATTTTAAATAGTAAAAAGTCCAAATATTATATCTATCATAAGTCTATTCTCCTATTCATCTAATACACTCCTCCGCTGAGATGTCTAACATGTCTTCATCTGCACTCTCTTCTATCTCTGGCAAGTTGCCCCAAAGTAGGAAGTTAACACCTGAAAGGAAAAGGTCACAAAGTTATTCAGTGCTCATTACTATTATAACTCAGAACATGATATATGAAACCTTTATGTTAACATTGTTATATTAAACCATAGTGTTAGCAGTAAAGAGAAAGAGCATTGAAAGAATGTACCACAAATAAAATTATCTAATATAATTCATCTAGAACATACATATTCTTCAACCGTTTTAAGCAATTCTAAAATCTTGAATTCTAAAATCTTAGGACTCAATAGGATCTTACGAATCCATTTACTCAAAGCTTGCCTCTAGCTACATTATGCCATAATAACTCTACAGTGATACTTTTCAAATCTATTTTAATGAATGGAGATCTCATAAGATCCTTTCAGATTAAGTATCTCTTTGGAGGGAAAAGACTTGAATAAGTCACTCATCTCTTCAACAAGCAAGGAAAGAGCTGGTGCCTTTTTTTCTGATTAAAAAAAGCAAGGTTTTGGAGCCAGTTACAATATGAACAATAATTCTTGATATACGTGGATTTTAGTCTAGAGGTTGTCAAGGTAGAATTGTCAACTTTAGAACTAGATTATAGCTGTCACTACAATAAATAAAATTACCTAAAACCTCTCATCGTGAAAGGTCAGTCAGCTTTCATATTGAAGAATCCAGCATTTGTGTATAATATAAGACCACATATATGGTAGAGGATAATGAGATGGTTTATTCTGGGCATGTACTATATTATGCCTTGAAAGCACTAAATTGGAAAAAAATTGACCTTTAGAAGAGCCAATGAAGTCTTACAAGAAAGTAAATCTCAAGCTGTCCAGTTGGCAGTGTGGGCACAAGCGGCTCAGCAAGTCTGGATACCCACTCCACACATACCAAGATTGTGGCCACTTGGTGGAATGGAATGAGCCAGGATTTGGAGATTTGGTTTGAACTCAGTTTCCACCCCTTATCAGTACACCATGGATGTTTTTACTACTTTTACTACAAATGCATGCAACCAGACTATATATATTGTTCTTTTGTGTATTTAAAATTTTACAATATGGTATTATATGTATCTTTTCTAATTGTATTTTTTCTTTCAATTCTCACCTGAGGATATGTTTATTGATTTTAGGAAGAGAGAAACATTGATCGGTTGCCTCCCGTGCATGCCCTGACCAGGAATCCAACCCTAAACTTAGGTATGTACCCTGACGGGGAATTGAACCTGCACCTTTTTGGGTGTGTGGGACGATGCTCCAACCAACTGAGCCACCCAGCCAGGGCTCTAATTAGACATTATGTTTTCATTAGACATTATGTTTTTGAGATTTACCTATACCCATATGTGCAGATTTAGCTCATTTTCTTTTATTTCTGTAGAGTATTCCATTGTGTGAACTAAAAAAAATTATATATATTGCAAATATGACCCATCGCCCATCCTTTCCTCTAAACTGTCCATTTTGCACAGTTGCCTGAGGAGACGTGTACAAGCATGTGCACTGTTGTATTGTTGAAACAACAGAAACAATCAACTATCTATCTTAGTTGAGATACTGGAATATAAAAAAGCAAGGAATTAGCATCTGTTTGATGTATATAGATGCCTATCATATTGTTTTCTGTAATTTTTTGTCTGTTTGAATTGTTTATAATATAAAACACCTTTTTCCCAAGAATGAATTGTTTTGCTTCTGGTCAGATGGCATTGAGAGCTGACAGGATAGTACGGAATCACTAGGCCAAATCTAATGGCCAATTAGAACCCATAAAGGTCAATGGAGAGTTGAAGTGAATTTGCCTTTGGAGGCATTTACCCACCCCAGTGAAGGTGAACTGAGGTTTCCCAAGCTTCCTCAGGAACTCCTTAGGAAATCAGGTCTACCTGTGTAGGCCAGCTTAGAACATAGACTTCTTGGGGCCCTTTCAGTCTAAATATTGTAGAATTTTATAAAGCTTGTGTATGTACTCCTTTGATGCTGCTGACTCAGGTGTTTCAAGGAGAGTTCCAACAGCCACGAGGAACCCTGTTGTATGCCAAGCATCTAGAAAATCCTGCTTTAAATCACAGTATTAGGGTTACAAAGGAGAAGTCTAATATTCTTGGAGTCAATACACAGAGACACGAGTAGCTCAGCACAATTGGTTCAAAGAAGAAAAAATAAACTAAGTGATTGGATCTGTCAGAAGCAGCACCTTCCTTCCTCTGTTAAGAAGGGAGGAAGGAAACCCTGTGATACATGTGTTTCTCATGGATTAGATTCAATGCAAATGCAAGAATGCCGGGCTTTTATCTTTGAAAAATTGACCAATATTAAGAAGTAAATCAAAATTGAAAAATCTCCACCCTGTGTTTTAAATTCCATGAAGCAGAAAAAAAATAATATCAAAGCAGAAACTTCCTTTAATGTGTCCCATGAGCAACACAAATATAAAACTGGAAACCTAAATTAGAAGCCTGTATCTCACCTAGGGGAGTTCAGATAAGTCCTTGCTCAAAAATGGCCCTCTAAACATGCTAGAGTCTTAAATTAAGACCCCCACATGGTTGAGAGCCACAATTAAATGCCAGGTGATAAAAAAAAAAAATCGGAGTCTCTAAAAACCCAACCATAATTGGAGGGTTTAAAGACCCTGACGACCTAGCTTTTTACAATTTGTGATCTTGTTTTTAGTCTGTGAAGGGAAATCATACTTTTAAAAAAGGAATATATTTTAAGTTCTGAAGAAGACTAAAATATACATTAAAAAACCCGAGTGTTAGTGCCAATTTGGGTTGTCAAATTCTTTAAACTTGTTCCCACTAAAAATGTCCCACTAAATTTCAACTTGGTCTGTTGTATAAATAGGTATTAGACATTGAAAATGTCCTATAACAAAACTTGAATGGCTCTAGACCAGGGGTGGGCAAACTTTTTGACTCGAGGGCCACAATGGGTTCTTAAACTGGACCGGAGGGCTGGAACAAAAGCATGGATGGAGTGTTTGTGTGAACTAATATAAATTCAAAGTAAACATCATTACATAAAAGGGTACGGTCTTTTTTTTTTTTTAGTTTTATTCATTTCAAACGGGCTGGATCCGGCCCGCGGGCCGTAGTTTGCCCACGGCTGCTCTAGACTATATAAAATGTATTATGTAAATATCTTTTAAGAATTAGTTGCAGTATTTTCCTACTAAATAATTAGTATGACATATTGATATTAAATATTTCCTTTGACTAAAATTCCATCATAATTTATTAATATAGATGTCAAAATGTCCATTTTCATCTTAAAGCAACATCACCAAATACATGTTATCTAGTCATCTTCCCTCCCAACTCCCCACGGCCTCAGCCTTCCCTCCATCCCTCCCTTCTTACACACACACACACACACACACTTGACTATCAAATATACAATATTGTTCTCTCTCTCTCCCTTCCTCTCTCTAATCTTGTCCTTGGATGAGGATTAAAAAAAAAAAAGTTAATTTAAAAAGGCCAAGAGCCCTAGCTGGTTTGGCTCAGTGGATAGAGCGTCAGCCTGAGGACTGAAGAGTCCTGGGTTCAATTCTGGTCAAGGGCACATGCCTGGGTTGTGGGCTCAATCCCCAGTTGTGGGCTTGCAAGAGGCAATACCATAGCTATTGTAAAGATGAATGAGTTAATATTTTAATCATAGGACCTTTGCAATAGTAGGTTCCAGATTTATTGTCTAGTGCTTTTTCTTTTTTACACACACACACACACACACACATACACACACGTACTTAGATGTATATAACATGTCTCTGTCTCCTTCTCATTCTTTAGGATTCAACTCTCCTTAGCCTCTCATGAGAAGTCTTCCCTACCATGCTATGAAAAATAACTCACATCGATGAGATTATGCATACTTGATAATATGTATCAATACAAGAATTTAAAGAATTAAAATGTTAATTTAAGTCTGGCTGTGGTGGCTCAGTTGGTTGAGAATTGTCCTGTGCACCCAAAGGTTGCCAGTTTGATTCCAGATCAGGGCGCCTACAAAAGGCAACCAATTGTTTCCCTCTCACATCAATGATTCTCTCGTGCTCGCTCGCTCTCCCTTCCTCTCTCTAATCTTGTCCTCGGATGAGGATTTAAAAAAAAAAAAAGTTAATTTAGGAGGCCAATGCCTTATCCATTAGGCAACTGGAAAAAAAGTTAATTTAAAAAGGACAAGAGCCCTAGCTGGTTTGGATCAGTGGATAGAGCATCGGCCTGAGGACTGAAGAGTCCTGGGTTCAATTCTGGTCAAGGGCACATGCCCGGGTTGTGGGCTCAATCCCGAGTCATGGGCTTGCAAGAGGCAGCCGATCAATGATTCTCTCTCATCATTGATATTTCTATCTCTTTTTCTCTCTCCTTTTCTCTCTGAAAAAAAAAAGGGGGGGGGGCGGACAAGAAATCCTGCTAAGTTTGAGGCTCTTAAATAAAATGATGAAAATAGAAATGGCAATGAATTTGGCTACTAGTATCCATAATTGTTTGGGATAATATGATTGACGTTTCAGTCTAGTAGATCCAATCCAGGTAAAGTCTCAGAGGGAGTTCTGAAATGATCTACCGGGAGTTTCACTCAGATGTTGATAGACAAATGTTATAGGAATGTTCCAGTCAATTGTTTCTTACCTGTAGAGTCTAGTCTGTTAATACCATAAACTGCCTGGCTGTGAAACATCCAGAAGTGCCCGTTGTTACAGGAGAGAAGGCAGGAGCAACATGGAACAATCACATGATAACCCACAATGTTCCCACTAAAAAGAAAGTAAATATTGTTAGAGGCTGTGTAACACCTGACCATGTAAGCATTTTTAATGTAAATAGATGACATAAAGACCTCACTTCCTCCTAACATCCTCCATTGCTGGGATCTTTGGGATGTGATTTATTCTAATAATGATTACAGTGCTACTGTCAAGTGGCAAAATAGACTTTAAGTGAAATAATACTAACATTTTCTCCATTTCTTTGCTAGTATTATTTTATGCATTTTCCCTTGAGAAGCTAGCTTCCAGATGACATAAGGTTGTGATTTGCTCTGTAGAGAACTCCAAATTGATGTGCTGTGCACACAAAATATATTGAATAAACTCAGATCTGTGGGTAAAAGGTTTTTGCTATCCTCAGGACAGTGGCAAGTTGGGTTCTTACATGTTCTAGCTCCATGCCAGGGCCTAAAAACTGTTTCAACAGATGGAGGAGTAGGAAGACAGCATGAGCCCCTGTAAACCAAACACAAGCTGGCTGCTCTAATTTTAGTCTGTGTTTTTGAGGGAATTCAGAAGTAAAGCAAATCTATAGCCTCTAGAGAAAGTTGCAAAAGTTTTCACTGTCTTCACGATTATGCATCTGATTATAAGTACCTTACTTTTCTACAGGGTTTGGTGTTTTTTTTTTTTCCTATCTGGTTACTATTAAATAGATTGAATATACAGGGAATGTTTTAGTAGGCACTTAAAAAAATGACAACATGAACTGCTTACACCTTAAGGTGTAAAAAGTCTTATTATAGCTTGTTCTCATCCAGTGAGATGTGAGAGTGAGTTATTTTTGTGAGGGCCTACTAAAAAATACTATATGAGAGGTACCAGCCCACCTAAAATATATCTTCTAATCATAATCTGATTGAAAGGCAAACGAATGAAAACAAAAGTTGTTCTTGGACTAGGACTGGCTGTTATTTGTAAGACTATTCTTGTGGCTTTCAGTACTGCCCTTATTCATTCATTCCACTAATGTTATTGAGCTTGTATTCTGTGTTAGGTGTTAGAAATACAGGGTGGACAAGGTTTTTGTTCTTATGGAGCTAACGTTCGAGTAGGGACATCCCAGATCATTTGCTCCCTTCTTAGAACCCCTTCAGTGGCTTCCCATTGGCCAAAAAGAAAAACAAACAAACTCCTTCATACCAAGGTGTAGATCTGCACTATCCAAATGTGGCTACTGAGCACTTAAAATGTGGCTAGCCTGAGGTGAAATGTGCTGGGAGTATAAAACAGACACCAGATTTGAAAGAATAAGAATAAAAAATAGAATGTAAAACATTTCATTCATAATGTTTTTATATTGGTTACATATTGAAATGATAGTGTTTTGCATATATTGAGTTAAATAAAATACATGATTAAAATTAATGTCACCTGTTTCTTTTTACTTTAAAAAAATGTGGTTACTGGAAAATTTTAAATTCCATATGCAACTTGCATATTTCTATTGGACAGCGCTGCCCTAGATTATATGTGTTTTGACTACATCTCTAATGTACTCATACGACTCTCCCCAGATGCTCACAAAGTCTCAGCCACACTGCCATTCTCCTTTTATTCCTGGAACATCTAAAGCAGGGGTCCTCAAACTTTTTAAACAGGGGGCCAGTTCACTGTCCCTCAGACCGTTGGAGGGCCGGACTATAGTCTAAAAAAAAACTATGAACAAATTCCTATGCACACTGCACATATCTTATTTTGAAGTAAAAAAACAAAATGGGAACAAATACAATATTTTTATTTGCATGTGGCCCGCGGGCCGTAGTTTGAGGACCCCTGATCTAAAGCATCTTCTTACCTTGGGTCCTTTGCACTTGCTATTCCCTCTGCCTAGAACATTCTTTCTCTGTCTCCTTCTCATTCTTTAGGATTCAACTCTCCTTAGCCTCTCATGAGAAGTCTTTTAGAGTTTTAAGTTTATTCGAGATCAAATAGAGAGTAGGGGTAGGGCCAGGACTCAAACCTAATTTTTATGACTAAATCCAGGTGTTTTTTTTCCCCTTCTAAACTACTTGCCTTTTTCTAAAAATTAAAGCAGATATTTGTCAATGAACTTTGAGAAATTGTAAAATCATATACAAATCTAAAGTGCCACAGGCCCTTTAAAAAATAGCTCTTAGTAACAAATGGAAAATTTTAAATTCCATATGCAACTTGCAATGGCTCATTGCAAGGGTTATAACCAGTGCTCGATGCAGTCCACTGAACCTTTGTGTCTGCTTTGGTGTCAACATCCATCTCCCAAACCCAGGGCTATTTAGAATATTGTCATAGATACCATTTTAAACATGCGATGTCCTTCAGTTTACATTTGCAGATTTCAGTATAATAGCATCTTCCTATTAAGTCCACTGTGCTGAAGAGAGAAAAGTGTAGAGATAGTCAAATGTACGTTTTTTAAATTGTTAGATGTATATAACATAAAATGTATTAATTAACCACTTTTAGTGTATAGTTCAGAACTGTAAAGTATATTCACATTGTTGTACAACAAATCTCCAGACCCTTTTCATTTTATAAAATTAAAACTCTATGCCCATTAAAAAATTCCCCATTTCCCTCTCCCCACAACCCCTGGCAATCATCATTCAACTTTCTGTTCCTATGAATTTGACTGCTTTAGATACCACATATAAGTAGAATCGTACAGTATTTGTCTTTTTGAGACTGGCTTATTTTCACTTAGCATAATGTCCTCAAGGTCCATCCATATTGTAGTATGTGATAGGCTGGATAATATTTCATTGTATGCATATACCTTATTTTGTTTATTCACTCAGCTATTGACAGACATTTGGGTTTTTGTGAATAATGCTGCTAAGAACATGGCTGTGCACATATCTCTTCTAGGTCCTGCACTGAATTTTGTTGGATATATACCCAGAAGCGAGATTGCTGATCATATGGTAATTCTATTTTCAATTTTTGAGGAACTGTTATGCTTTTCCATAGCAGAGGCCCTATATTACATTAGCACCAACTGTGCACAAGGTTTCAATTTTTCCATGTCCTTGCTATCAAATGTATTTTTGATTGTGATTTAGTATGAATTTTATAGGCCCAAAGAGCTAAGAGTGAGTCTGAAATAGAACTATAGTATATTTTGTAAGAGTCAGTTAATATTTGTGAGCTCAACATAATATGACAAAACTTCCACTTAAAAACCTTATGTGCTCATTGATTTTCAAACATTAATCCATACTCTTATAACTCCTACAAGGAAGCATAGACAATAGGAAAGATCCAACTCTATTCTAGACTCTTATCTAACCTCTAACCATGAACCTTCTTATGACTGTCTCATCACTTACCATAGCTATTGTAAAAATGAATGAGTTAATATTTTAGTCATAGGACCTTTGCAATAGTAGGTTCCAGATTTATTGTCTAGTGATTTTTTTACACACACACACACACACACACACACACACGTACTTAAATATTAACCCATTTATCTTTGCAATACGTAACGTTGTCATCAGGCATGACTACACTTGAACCAATTCAGGAAAATTTCACGACTTTCACTATATTAAATTTTTTTTCTTTTTTTAAAAAAATGTTTTTATTGATTTTAGAGAGGAAGGGAGAGGGGGAGAGAGAGAGAGAGCTAGAAACATCAGTGATGAGAGAGAATCATTGATTGGCTGCCTCTTGCACGTTCCACACTGGGGATCGAGCCTGCAACCCGGGCATGTGCCCTGACTGGGAATCGAACCATGGCCTCCTGGTTCATGGGTTCATGCTCAACCACTGAGCCATGCCAGGCAGGCTGAAAAAATGTTTTTAAGTTTCTATTATTATCATGAAATTCACTTTAAATTATTATAACTATTAGCCTGCCTCCTCTGGCTGTGTCCAAAGAATACTTACTTATTCACCCATATTATGGATAATCCCTCTTTCACTTTAATGATAAAGATTCAATAAAGAGCTAAATCTTGAAAATCATTTAAGGGCTATGTTGACCATGGAGAGAGAAAGTACTTTTTAGAGCTAGAAAAAGGTATATTTGAGTCAAATAAAATGGTTATTTTTCCAAATAGGAAGCAAATTCTTAAGGGCTCTACTATACCCGAAAGTGGGTAGTGACTGAAAACAATTAAAGAGGATTGAATTACACAAGTGAATGCATGATATCCAAAATAGGCTTTATGGGAAGACAAGGATTCTTTAAAGGGTAAGTCTTTATTTCACCCCATACAAACCTAAGTCTCTCTCAGAAAAGGAGATTTTTGAGAAAAGAATACTGAATTATAAGGACAATGGAATAAGCATGCCAATCTCAAATAATGGTAGAAAACTATTAATTTTTTTGGGGGGGGGAGTGTAAAACGATGGATAAAAATGAAAAAAGCCCTAGCTGATTTGGCTCAGTGGATAGAGCAGCAGCCTGGGGACTAAAGGGTCCCGGGTTCGATTCTGGTCAAGGGCACATGCCTGGGTTACGGGCTCAATCCCCAGTGGGGAGTGTGCAGGAGGCAGCCGATCAATGATTTTTTCTCATCATTGATGCTTCAATCTCTCTCTTCCTCTCTGAAATCAATAAAAATATTAAAAGAAAAAGAAAAACTTGACCTCTCAAACAGTACAAAAAAGCTTGCTTGAATTTCCTAGAGTCTCTAGGTCATGGCCTTGATCCAGCGAGACAGGATAGTTGGGCAGGGCCTAGGGCCAGGGATCCAGCTTCAGGGGTGTGGTCACATGACTAGGAGCATTACATCAGGACTGACCACTGGGGCTAAACCACAGACTTTGTCCAGACAGTCTGCCCATTTAGTTATACGCCAAGGGGATCATCAGGCTCGTGGGAGTGGCTGGAACACCAAAATGATAATCCCTTGGTTGACTCCGAGGTCCAAGCCCTAACATCTTCCCATTTAGTTAAAGGCTACCGTCCGCTGCCCGCCACCAGCAAATGACTTACTTGGTAGGAGGGATGTCTGTAGAGAAAAGGTCTATGTCAGTGTCGGCCAGCAAAACAGCCTTCATGCCCCGAGAGCTGAGCACTTGTTTACAGAATTTGCAAGACAGGATGGACACGCACCGGTCCTGGAAGCTACAGCTGCTGGTAGACATGGCGTCCCGGGCAAGGATGTGGCGTGGGATTTGAAAAAATGCAACCAAAGAGCAAGACCCTTCCTAGGTGGATTCCCCCGGGGCTAAAAATAAAATGGCGAGGCCTCGAGCTTTTCTGAGCCCTAAAATTGGGAAGGAGAATTAGTTCTTTTTTTGTTTCCCCCCCACCCGGGGAGGGTAAAAGTAATATTTATTGAGCAGGAACAGGAGAGAGCAGCAGCAATTTTGGCTTTATCCTTTGAACTTTCCGGGAGGGGGGAGAGGTTTGAAGTGGGGGGGGAGCGGGGCAAGCTGCTAGGGGCCTCGGGAACTTGTCTGCCGTTTTCCCTTCCTCCCGTCTACAAGGATCCTCTCCTCTGGCTCCCCCTCCTTCAGCAACTCCCTCGCATTTAAAGCTTCTCCTCTCCCAAGCCCCACCCCCCCCGAGAGCTCCAATTCCTATTTGTCGGGTCGCGGGCGGTCTCCCTACCCACGCCTCTTCCAGGAAATCTTTCTCCTCTTCCCAGGCTTCGGAAATGCCCTGAGCCCTGCCCACCGGGAGGGTCCCTGCTTCTCCGCAGTCCTACAGCGAACCTCCGCCGCTCGTCTCGTCCCAGCCGGCCCCCGGCTTCGCTTCTCCCGCGGCAGCCCCCAATCCTCAGCGTGCTGGCTCTCGCGTCCCCCTCGTGCCCCCGGTTCCCCGCGGCCTTCCCTCCAGGCCTCTCCCGGAGCGGCCACTCCAGAACGTGCGGTGCTGGAGGTGGTGGTGGTGGTGGGGCTCGCTTTGGGGGCTCAGTCGACTTTGGGATCCCGGTCACCGAACACGTCGTTTTCTGCCACCTCTTCCGCTCGCTCTGCCTTTCCAAACCGGCTGTCAGTTTGAATTTCCATCGCCGCGCACCGATTGGGAGAACTAGAGCTCGCCCACGTCCTGCATTGGAAGGCTCGGAAGCCGCGGACGCGATCTTAGTGGCGAGGGGACCGTACGCCCCGCCCCAGTAACGGTGCCGACATCGGTTGCGCTTGCTGGTTGGCCGAGCGTGGCTCCGCCGCCGGCCTCATTGGCGGGCTCCTGGAGGTTTGGGCGGGCCTACTCCGGCTCTAGTGGAAGAAGCCAGGACGCCCTTTGCGCTTCTGATTGGAAGACGTTCTTACAGTCCACTCTGGTCTCTACTCTCTATTGGCTAAAATTCTCCCCAACGCCCCTCCTCCCCACCCCGGTCCAATTGGTCGTACCTTTTCTCAAGAATTCGTGTTTGGTTGCTGGTTCCAACTTAATCCCGCCCATTAATTCTACTTTAGGGTTCGGCCACAGTGGGAGGAGCTTACCCCGTGACTACGCCTCGGTAGTGCTAGTCACGCCTCCAAGCTTCGCCAGTCCCGCCTCCTCATTCCTGGCCTCTCGGGATCAGCTATTCCTATTGGCTACAGGCCCTATCGGTCGATAGAATGCGGGCGGTGATTGGCAAAAGGGGTGGGTCCTGCTTCCCGGCGGGGTCCTGCGGAGTTGGCGGAGGCTCCGGAGGGGACTAGGGGACCAATCTGCGTAGGAGCGGGTGGCGGGGACGAGAGGGCAGGAGAACTCTGAGTGGAAAGCGGACCCGGGGGCCTGGGACCCGTCGCGTCAGAGCCAGGTAAAGGCTCCTTCCCTCTCCCCTTCCTTCCTCCCGGCGGCGGGACCACAGCCCTGACTGCACAAACCCGGGTTGGGGCGGAAAGGAGAGGGCGCAGATGCTGCTTGCTGCATCGCTTTAGCGGTGCCGCCCGCAATCCCTCCACCCCCCTACCCCCCCGCGATCCTCTCCAAAACTCTGAGCACTCCTCAGGACGGCATCTCTCCGCCCTTCACCGCACCGCTCGGGGCTGTGCCCGGGCTCATGCCGCCGCGCAGCCCGCACCCAGCCCCCTCCCCAAGCGCTCTGCAGTCGGACCGCTTTGGGGCAGCCGTCCTTGGCAGCACCCGTCACCATCCGCGGCCCCCCAACTCTGTCTCCAAGCCCTGCACCCAGAAGGGGTGTTCCGCCCTGCTTCCGGGGCCCTTCCCGGGTCCCAGCCCCCCGGCCCGCCCCAGTGGCTCCTCTTCGCACTCGGGTTCCCAGACCCCAGAAGTGGGTCCCCCAAGTTGCTAACATCCCTGCGCTGCATGGAACATCACGGGCCACGATAGACTCCGAATTCCCCCCTCACCTTTAAGGCACCCCTCCCCGTCCCCTCTCCGCGTCCTTCCTCCAAGCGTGTGCGGCGGTTCTCGTTACCCTCGGCTCCCGTGCAGCCTCGGGACCCCACCTCTCCTCCCCTCCCGCTTCCTGCCCGCCGGAACCCCCTCGCCGCCTCTGCTCCCTCTTCCTCGCTCCGTGAGGCTCTTTCTCCGGGGCGCGGGCAGCGGGAGACACCGGCGGGAGCCTCTTCCTCCCGGCACCGAGAGGG